CCGAGTTCCCCTGTGAGGTGGTGCCACGCTGAACTCCTGTTTGTTTTGACACGTAATACGTGGGCTCAGGTCGGCCTTTCTCCCTTCCTGCTGCCCCTTCCTAACTTTGGTGTCTCTCTCTGTTCGCAGGGAAAGATGGAGACCCTGAAAGATAAGACCCTGCAGGAGCTGGAGGAGATGCAGAATGACCCGGAGGCGATTGACCGGCTGGCTTTGGAGTCCCCTGAGGTAGAGAGCCTGTTGCAGGGCCCAAGGAAGACCAGCAAACTTAAGGATTTTAGCTTATTGGGAGTTTTAGCCAAACTTATCTCCCTTTTCTGTGGATTTCACCCTGGTTTGGGCCAACCAGAGGGTCCCTTGAGGTTGCATGCTAGTTCTTGGGTCATCTGGGAACCTAGGGAATGGTAGGGAGCCCCCATGTGGACTTGGACCCCTGGGCCCTCCTAGGGACCTGGCAGCCCCAGGAGACTGCACACTTGCTCCAGCCTGAGTCAGCAGGTTCCTCAAGGTGTGGCTTGGTGCCTGCCTTTCCCCCACAGTGGACCTGTGTGTCCCTGTGTTTTCAGCGACTCTTACACATGTAGGCACCTTCTTGGCTGGGTGTAGCTCATTGCTGTTTGATCTGTTCCCGTCAGAACTGGTACCTCATCTTCTTAGCTCCTAGTCACAGAGTCCTCGTGGGAACACACAGTTTTACACTTAACATTGGACTTTCCTGCTCTCCCTGTCTCTATCTACCTCCTGTGATCCTGTGACTTCCCGCAACATGAGAGAGGCCAGGTGACTGACTGTGGCTACCCAGCTGGAAATATGCTTGGACGCCCCTAAGTGGCTGCAGCCTGCCCAGTGCTCTAGATGCTTCGGCCTCATGGCCCTAGTGTACGGGAGACACAAGCACAGACAGCACCAGCTCACCTGAGTCACATTTGGATTATATTCTTATATTCACTGATGAATTGGTGAACTGTCTTCTGTGGATTCACAGTGTATTAAAAAACATCAGAAAGGAAGCTGCCCTGTCCCGCACTCCCTGCTCGTCCCTCCCCAGAGTACTTCCCTTGCTCTCGGGATGCCCAGTTCGATGTGTTCCCTGCTTCTTCCCTCACTGTGTTCTCTGTCCACCCCTGCTCCTCCACCTGGGGGACAAAGGAGGCTGGGGATTAGGTTGGAAGCTCTCCTGGTGGGCAGAGCGCCAGGAGAGGTCCTGAGACTCCGCATGGTGTGTCCTGCTGTCCTGAGGCAGGGTGAACTTATTCATCCAGGATGGGAAGCAGAGGCTGTCTTGGTTAATTAAGCTTATGGCCAGTTCTATGGTTAACTGGGCTGTGAGCTCTGCCCGCACCTGTTTTACCTGGCACAGGTGCTGAGCTGGCTCAGGTCTTCGTTCCTTTCTCTTCTACTCATTTCTCACACATGGGTTGACTATCTTTTACTCAAAGTGCTTGGGACCAGAAGTATTTCAGAGTTTGGAGTTTTTTGGATTTTGGAATATTTATGTAGACTTTACTCCAAAATCCCCGAATCTGAGATCATCTGAAATTCAAAACTTTTTAAGTGTCTGTAGACACTCAAAAAGCTTTGGATTTCTTAGCATTTCAGATTTGGATGTTTTGGATTAGGGATGCTCCGTGTGTGTTAAGCACCAAGTACTTCATGGGTCTGTAATGAGCACAGTGTTATGGGGACTCCAGTTCCAGTGGTGCATGGAGCTTGGCAGAAGCAAACCTTTACATAATTATCTTTAGTTGACTTCCAAGCTGAGCAGGCTGGTAGGATCTGTGATGCAGCCTCTATGAAACACCCTTGATGAAACAACCTCTTGGGCAAAAGGCACTGGAATCTTGTGGCATGTAGCTGTGTCTGACCAATCAATTTGAAGGCTCTGAGGGAAGAAAATTATTCCGTGTGGACTGGGCAGAAACAAAACAGGGCAGGCTACTCAGACTTCCCAAGAACCTTTGAGTAGCTCTTTTGCCATGGTCCATGGCAAAGATATTAATTGAATAACTGGAATTGTGAGAAGAGAGAGGAGCCCATGTGGTTTGGGATGTGATCGTGGCTTGAAAAGGGAGTTGGTAGGAGCTATTTTTCTGCATAGAAGAGAGTGAACTGAGGGACCAGCGCAGGCCGAGTGATCTGCCTGGAGCAGGGTATAGGACGCGTGTTGACGGTGTACAAAGGAATAGGAGAAGGCTTCATGGTGGCCCCCTAAAGGAGAAAAAATTGAGGTGATTGTGGGGAGAGGGAGCAGAAATAGGACACATTTTAGAGGAAAATGATGCAGTCAGGCTTTATAAGTTAAGATGGGGCGTGCGGTAGAGGTGCGGGCATGCCCGAAGGCCCCGGCCCGTCGGGTGCCTGGACAGGAGGCCATGCCCTCTGACTCAGCCACATGAGTGAAAATGATTTCCGCGGCTGACAGATAGAGTGAAACTCACCAGGGTCTACAGGTCAGGGTGCCCATCCGGTCGCTGAAAAGGGTGTGTGTGGCAGCAAACCCAGGCGAAGGGGCCGAGCGTTTGGGCTCTGGGCTGGGCATACGCTGGGTGCTGCTGTCCCCGAGTCATGGAAGCCTCCTTATGGAGGGGGAAGCTGTGGCTTTTCTTTCTCTAGTGGCCTGCCTCATAGTGTGGGCCTGAGGCCCTGTGGCAGGGGATCAGCAGGTGGGAAGACCTCCCCCAGCGCCCTCCTCGGGACTCCCTGGATTCCCGTGGGCTGCTGTTGCTGGTGGAGCATGGGCCAGTCTGGTCTAGGTCCCCAGTGCTGGTGCTGGTGGCGAAGCTGAATGGCTCAGGGAACTCGTCTTCCCTGAGGAAGCTGGTCTTGCTGAGCTGTGCCCTGACCCCTGTGGTGGTCCCCTCTGGTGGTGCCACGAGGTGCTGTGGTACGTGGTCCCCACCCTCTTGGGGTGGTGGGCCTGACTCTCCAAACCTCCTCAACAGATGGGTAGGGCTTCGTGCACAGGGTGGCTGGGCAGGGTTCTGGCAGCTGCACCACCCGGCTGAGGGGCACAGTGCTGCCTGGCTTGGGGAAGTGTTTTCAGCAGGGGACTCCAGGATCCTAGCTCCCCGGTCCCCTCAGAATAGCCTGACTTCCGGGCATCATGGAGTGTCCAGCTTGTGTTCTGTTGGGCCATCTTAGTCCTCCTTAGTCCACTTGACTCAAGTGTGGGGTTAAGTGGTTGGGACTTTGATCCTGTCCCTCGTGTGAAGCCTCTGGCTTCTCCTACAGATCGCTTCCCTCCCTCCCTGGAGTTCTGCAGTCATGGTGGCCTTGGCAGGCTGTTAACCTTAATGCCAGTTTCTCCTGTGTGTCCCCCACCAGGCTGCCATGTCGTGGATACAGTGAGGCACCCAGGCCAGGGTGCCTAGTGCAGGGTCTGAACCCATGCTCCTCTGCCTGTGCTTAAAGGCCGAGCATCACCCAGTGTCCCCAAGATGAGTAGTGAACCCAGAAGCCCTTAGCCCAGGGACAGTTGTTCTTACTGTTCGTTTTCCTACTTTTCTAGGTCCAGGACCTGCAGTTGGAGAGAGAGATGGCACTAGCCACCAACCGGAGCCTGGCTGAGCGGAACCTGGAATTCCAGGGACCCCTAGAGATCAGCCGCTCAAACCTCTCAGACAAATACCAGGAGCTGCGGAGGCTTGTGGAACGGTGCCAGGAACAGAAGGCAAAGCTGGGTAGGGACAGCTGGCCCTGGAGAGTGCTCTGGTGGCTCCCCTGTGAATGCAGGGACTCCATTCAAGGTTGGACTGGGGAGGACAGCTGGAGGACAGGAAAGGGCCAGCAGCCAGGGAGGCCCTGAGCTGAGCGCGCTCCATACACAGAGGAGTGTACGAGTAGGGGTCCTGTTGTTATTCACCTTGTCTAGGTGAGGAAGATGAGGCTCCGAGAGGTCCAGGCACCCGCCTGAGGTTACAGAGCTAGAAGGTGGTGGTGTTGGGATTGGAGTCCAGGGGCCTGCATGGCTGGCCAGCAGTGCGGACAGGTTGGCGAGCTTTCCCCTGTGGGGCGAAGCACATCAGGATCCAGTCCCTTCCCTTCTGGGGCTGGTATCGGGGAGCTGCTTGGCTGAGCCCTCGAGTGGGCTCTCCTGCCCCTCTCTACTCAGGAGTGGGATTGTCAGAGGGAACTGACAGACTTACCCCAAGGGATTCTGCGTAGACTCCAGGTGGCAGCTGGGCTCTGTATGTGCAGAGGGTGTCCTGAGCGCCTCTCCCGAGGTCTCTGCCTCCGGCACGGGGCAGGCAGCGTTGAGATGCCAATCTTTCCTGCCCTCCCTTCCAGAGAAGTTCTCCTCAGCATTCCAGCCAGGGACCTTGTTGGACCTTCTGCAGATCGAAGGCATGAAGATCGAGGAGGAGTCTGAGGTGAGGTGGAGGGTCGATGTTCCTCTGCAAGTGACCCTTGGACGGGGTGTGGGTCCGTGGGGCAGGTGCTCATGATGAACACTCGTGTCTGTAGAGCAAGAGATGGGGGTGGGCTTGGTAGGTGGCAAAGGAAAAGTGTATCTGGGGTCCAGTGGAGACCCTTTGGAAACAAATACATAGTGCCTCTTATCCAGGGGGACACTTTCTGAGACTCCCAATAGATGCCTGAAACTTTGGCTAGTACTGAGCTCTGTATACATTATGATGTTTTTTTCCTGTATTTGTTCATCTAATATAGAAATTAGGCACAGGAAGAGATTAGCTATAACTATAATAAAGTAGAACAATTATAACAATATGCTGTAATGAAAGTTATTTAAAGCTCATCAAATGTTTACTTCCAGAATTTTCCATTTAATGTTTTTGGGCCAGGGTTGTCCTTGGGTAGCAGAAACTGGAGATAAGTTAGGAGTACTGTGTCAGGGACCTGTCCTTGCTAGCTGAAGCAGAGCTGGATAGCTGGCCGCAGGCCCTGGGCCGCTCACAGACCTGGATGGAAGGGCGGTGCACCAGGGACCTCGAGGATCTCGGGCCTGGTCCCCGCTCCCCCCTTCCCTGTTTGCTGCTTCCTCTGGGCATTGCTTCGGCCTCTGTGGGCAGTCTCCGCCTGCCCCTGGTGGAAGCAGCTCCCAGGTCCTCCTCGCCCACGGGCTAGCATGCATTCGCCACCCCGTAGCTCACACTCATCCAGCTGTGCAGCACGCATGCAGTGACCACTGTGGGCCTAGCAGGTCAGCGCAGGCCACTGGGGTGACCATGACAGACACAGTTCTTGCCCTTAAGGAGCTGACGTTCTCATGAGGGAAACACGGAACACAGGTCACAGGATGGGTCACAAGAGGAGGGCCCTCAAAGAGAAGCTCCAGGGTGGGGCTGGGAAGGCTGGGGAGCCCGGGGTGGACTCAGCGCAGGCCTTGGCAGAGTTCTGACCCAGGGGCAAGTGGGAGGCCCTCATTGTCACTTGACCTGTTTTCCAGGCCATGGCTGAGAAGTTCCTGGAGGGCGAGGTGCCCTTGGAAAAGTTTCTGGAGGACTTCTCCTCTATGAGGATGCTGTCCCATCTGCGCCGGGTCCGAGTGGAGAAGCTCCAAGACGTGGTGAGGAGGCCCCGAGCTTCCCAGGAACTGGCCGGAGATGGCCCTCCACCCCGCCCGCCACCCCTGCCCCTGCGACCAGGCCCTCAGGCGACACCCCCTGTGGCCGAAGAACAGCCGCCTCCGCAGCCATCTGTTGTGCCTCCCTACCCTTTGCCCTATAGCCCGTCCCCCGCCCTGCCCATGGGCCCCACTGCCCAGGGAGCCCTGCAGCCGGCCCCCTTCCCTGTGGTGGCCCAGCCCTCTGCCTCTTACAGTGGGCCTCTGGGCCCTGCCTACCCGTCAGCCCAGCCGGGACCCAGGTCTGCTGCAGGCTACCCCTGGTCCCCACAGAGGAGCACTCCACCTCGGCCAGGCTATCCTGTAGCCCTGACTAGCACCTCTGGCCCTGGGTACCCCTTGGCCGGGGGCAGGGCCCCCAGTCCTGGCTATCCTCAACAGCCCCCCTACCTCCCCACAGGAGGAAAGCCTCCCTACCCAACACAGCCTCTGCTCCCAGGCTTCCCAGGACAGCCCCAGCCCTCAGTGCCCCCTCGGCCCCCGTATCCCCCAGGGCCCACTCCTCCATACGGGTTTTCCCCACCCCCAGGCCCTGCCTGGCCTGGATACTAGCCGTGGTTTGGCTCCTTGGCCCTTCCCTCCTCCACCTGCACCACGGCCTTTAGCCCACCTGTCGCTGAGATTTGAGGTTAATGGGAAGTGAGTTAGTGCTCCCCGTGGGCCTGCATCAGCACAAGGAGGCCCCAGGGGCACCTGGCCAGGGGCATACAGGACCCCCAAAGGCACTGAGGGTGTGTGTGACAGGTTGGCTATGACAGAAGCTCGCAGAACTTGCTGACCTTCCAGCCAGAGGCCCTCCTGGGAGCTGCTCCTGTCGGTAACTGGCTCTAGGCTGCAGGTCCTGCAGGCCAGTGGGAGCCAGGGCTAGTGGTGTGTGCATGCATTAGTGCACATCCTCTCGTGTCACTTCCAAGGACATCTGAACTCCTTGCAGAGTTATCTCAGTGACACGGTGGCCTGGGGTCCCCACCCCGCCCACCCCCTACCTCTCCCCTGGGATTTGGCATATTTGACATGGAGTCCCAATCCAAGGGATGCAGCTCTTGGTGTAAGACCATTCAAGAATGTTCTGCCTCACATACCCCAGCTAGGGGTAGTCTGGAGGGAGAGAACAGAATTAGGGAAAAACAGTGATTTTGTGTCCTGTGAAGCCATAATTTAACCCCAGTAGGCTGGGGACAGAAGCTCCGTGTGCTGCTCTGAATCAGCGGCGCCTGCATAGCGAATGGGCTGGGATGTGAAGCCCACCCCTAACCTTGCTTGCAGGTTGGAGAATCCAGGGGTCGTCTTGGACCCTCTGGCTGGGGGAATGGAGAAGCTCTAGCCTGGGAGATTGTGGTCACGTTTGGGCTCAGCTAGGAGTTGGGGCACTTCCCAGCCACCCTTTCCTTCTCAGGGCCCCCCACTTCTGGCTGGCTTTTCTGAGGCCCACCCACCCACCTACCTATTCCTTTAGTGCCTTGAATCTCATTCTCAAGCAGCCCCCTCCGTCCTTCATCTCCCCATGTATGCCTTCCTGGTCCCCATATCCCTGTAGACGTCGTCAAAAGACACCCGAACAGTGACTTCCCAAATGGTGCTTTCCAAAACACCATCACTACACCGGCGTCAGTTTCTCTGCACCTCTCGTCTTCAGAATGTAAAGGGCAGGGATTGTGACGGTCACATACAGCCCTAGCACACTGGGCTTTTAAACATGTGCAGTAGTAAAAATGACTACACTAGGCCAAAGGGGGTGACGAATGAAGCATTAACTTTGTACCAGATGTGAACCAGGTCTCGGCGGATCCTGGAGCTGCTACGGGTTAGGAAGTTGTATGTGCCTTGAGACATCCACTCCCCAGGTACCCAGCCTCTGATGGGCCTGGGGGTGTGGGGGCCAAGGAGGAAACCTCACCTTCTGGTGCCTGCCCCCGTCCCGGGCCTGCGTGCCATCTGTGGGTGTGCGTGATGCTAGATTAGCGCTGCCAGTTCCTCTCCAACTGTGCTTGCTTCTTGTAAGTTATTTATGAAGAGAAATCATTAATGGAGTCTGCTGAGTGCTTCTGGATTGGATGAATGACCGCCTGTATGTTCGTGTAATTAATTGCCATAATAAACTTCCATGAGTAACTTGTAGTGTTGTGACTCTGGTGGGCTTAGAAATGGAGATGTGGCTGCTTGGGGGTCCTGAATTTCTTCTGCAGCCTTCAGAAGCATGTTCTACTGAAAGGTCTCTAGCTTCCGTCCACAGAACACCTTCTGGTGGCTGTCACTCTTTTGAGCTGCTGCCCTCCCCAGCCCTTCACCTGCTGGGCCTGGCTTTTCTGGCGTCCTTTTCCTCCTGTTCTTTGGTTCCTATTATGTGTTTTCTGGGCGGAGCCTGCATCCGTGCCTTGTCCTGGGGGAGAGCTGTTTCATACAAGGCCACGGACTCCCACTAGGGGGCGCCTGGGCCCCAGCCCAGCTTGGGACATGCACATTACTGCCACCTGCTGGGCAGGCAGCAGTGTCTGCTGGTCAACCTGGCCATGGCCCATTCAGTTTTGAAGCTGGAATTGCAGGGCTTGCTCAGAGAGGCAGGGGACATTAAACTGGCTGGTCACTAAGAACCCGCCTGCCCTCTTCCTGGCATTTCCCTGTGCTCCGCTGCTGGTTTTCAGAGGCCGGGGAGGACGTTGTGCTTTCTTCAGGACCAGCAGCTTTGCGGAAGTTGGGAGACCAGGTTTTGATGGTCCCTTAAATCAGCCCTTCTGCTGTTCTTTCCCACCAGGTGACAAGGGCAGGCCTCCTGTGGAGGGCGATGGGGTGCCCAGCCGCCAACACCATGTCCCCTGCAGGGCTGCACAGCATTGTCGTGCTCATGCACGTTTCCTCCTTGAGCCTCTGGTGGCCCTTTCAGCCCTACTTTTAAATAGGAAGGAGACGGCAGGGCAGGTGGGACGGTGGCCAGGTTGTCCAGCCTGGGGCCAGAGGTGGACAGGGGCCCGGGTCCTGGGGCAGAGGTAAACAGGGGCCCGGGTCCGTGGAATCCCAGAGGCTGTAGGACTCTGCCGTGCCTTTGTGATGCCAGAATCATCTCCAGGATGGCTGAGCGCCCCCAGCCCAGTCCAGTGCTCACTGCCCTTGTCCTGGCTGCACGCTGGTCTCACCTTGCGGGTGTCTGCGGCTGAGGACACAGGACCTCAGGAAGAACCAAGGATGCCCATCTGTAGGGGAAAGCTATAGACTGTATTGTGGCCACAGAAGCAGGTCACCTGCCTTAGTCGGGTGCCAGAGCAGCAGGGGCACCAAGGACCAACTTTCTAAGAAAAGACTTGTGAGCTGCAACCAGCTGCTCTCCATGCTCTTTCCTGGGGCTGTGCGCCTGAGATGGTGGGGCACACTCAGGCGTTCCTCAGGCCGTCATCAGACCTGGGGGGGGGGGCTCTGGCTGCACAGGGGACAGACGCTTCATGCAGCCTGGAAGGGATTCTGAGCCTAGTGGGGATACTTGGGTGAGGCCCTTTGAAACGTCCTTTCTGCTCTGATGCCAGGTTCGTCCTGAACCCCCAGGCCTGTCCTGAACCCTCAGGCCTGTCCTGAACCCCAGGTCCCTGAATGCCGATAACTTGGAAGCGAGGCCTGTTGCTCAGAGGTTAAGGGAGCTTTCCTTCTGGATTGCCTTCCTCAACCCGAGGCAAAGGTAGCAGGTCCTGGGCTGCACGCCAGTGCTTCCAGGGGTTGTCCAGTAACATTAGGGTAGTGAGTGACCCTGCTTCTGGATCCCCAGCATGGCTGGGCACATCTGTGACCCATCTAGGCTGTCATAACCTGGGTGGAAGGTGTATGGGGGCAGAGCGCCGATCAGACATTTTTCTGGAGTGCTGCCCCCCCACTCCAACTCTGCACCCACCGCTGCACACACCACAGCGTCTCCCCTTTTTCTCTCCCAGAGTTGGCTGTTGTGGTTTTGATCATCAGTTCCTGTGCTCCCAGGAGGTACAGGGCCGTGTTGAGTGGAGAAGGGCTCCACCCAGGACCAGTCACCACCAAGCTGCTTCATCTTTTGAGGGGGCTGCCAGATGCCAAAGGCCCAGTGGCCTAGCACAGCCCCTCCCTGAATCAGATGTGGGGCTCCTGGTTAGGTACCCTCCCCTTGAAGTTAAGGAACCGTGCTGCTGGATTTAGCTGTATGTCTGGGATCTCCAAGTGGCAGAGGAGACTATTTTAGCTGTAGGAAATATTTAATTCTAAGGAACACATGAGGCTGTTTCTCTGACTCTCGTGTTACAGGTTAACTGTGACTGGCTGAAACTTCCTTAGCTTGGGACTTTCAACTGCCACTTAAAACCGAAAGCTTAATGGGCCAAGACTCACTAGGTGCCCCTTTGTGCCAGCCTCTGGAGTGGCATCATTGCCCTTGACAGCCCTTCTGGAGGGGAAGGAATCTTCAGATATGGGGCCTGGGGAGTCACAGACGTGTGGCATGTGAGCCTGGGTACCCACCCCTCCCTGGCTGGTAGATGCTGAGCGCACTGAGCTGTCTTTGTGCAGCTATGACCATGACAGCTCCAGACTTCCCCGGGAGGTCTCTCTTGTTGGCATTCCCAGAAGGATCCATAGGAGTGGACCCTGGACAGAAGAAGCCAGAACCCTTAAGTTCTCAGGAAGTAGAAAAAGCATTATTTACAAAGAACAGATTTAAACTACACAGAGAAACAGCCTCCCACCACATGCGAGTTCCTCCTCGTTCTTCACGTGGCCAGAGTCCAAGGAAAAGGCCAGATTCTACTCAGTGCTGCACCCCAGTGGACGAGGAAGGGGCTTCCCAGGCTTAGGAAACAGGACCCTTCTGGACACCGCGAGTCCGCCTGGAAGGGCTCGCCTCTGGGTGCCATCTTCTCAAGGTGATGGTGTCCGGAAGGTGCCACGCTGTTGCAGCTGGCTTCCCCTGGGTCAGGGCCTGGGGGTGAGCGGGGCTGAGAGCTGGCCTGCCATGGAGGGCAGAAGACGTGTGGGAAAGGCACCCCAGTCTCTGTCCAGGCCAAGCCCTGCTGGGAGTGGAAATGGGGGCATCGCTTCCAAGTGGTGACGATCATTTCCTTAGGACAGATTGGTCTGGCTCTAGGTTTTTTTTTTTTTTTCGTCCCTGGTTCCCAGTTCTTTGGGGTGAGAAGGACAGGAGTCGGGGGCGGTGGGGGAAAGCTCTGTGGGGGTGATTCAGGGAGTTGGGGACTGGCCCACACCAGCTCAGTCTTGGGACAGCGGCTGTCCTGCTGCCAGGGGCTTCTCCACGTAGGGATCTTTTTGTGTTGTCTTCTGAGTTGGATTTAAGATCCACGATTCCGGGCTGGGGATGTGGCTCAAGCGGTAGTGCGCTCGCCTGGCATGCGTGCCACCCGGGTTTGATCCTCAGCACCACATACCAACAAAGATGTTGTGTCTGCCAAAAACTAAAAAAATAAATATTAAAAATTATCTCTCTCACTCTTTCTTAAAGAAAAACAAAATAAGATCCACGATTCCTCTGCTAGTCTCCAGGTTGGCCCCGTCGCCTCAGTTGCTGGTACTTATTTTTGCCCTTTTTTGAGATCGAGGTGCTCAGGCCCCCTGTTCACATATGGGAGGAGGATGAGGAGAGCAGCTTCACCCTGGTGCCGTCCCCAGGACTGGGGGGTCCTGGAGCCGGTGTTAGACCAGGGACAGACTCACCTTCTACAGCCTCTGAGCCACGTGCAGGTCATAGTCGCTGTCAGAGGAGTTGTCAGGCTGGGTAGAGGAGCGATTCAGGGCCCCTTCCAGAGCTGGGGAAAGAAAAGGGCCTTCAGAAGATCACAGGGGCTTTATGAGCTGGCGACAGCCCCTGGTATCTGTTTTGATCAAATCAGCCAAGCGATGGCTAATGATGCTGAACTCCAGGCTCCCCGGGGCTTAATTGTCAGCACCAGCGAGGAGCCTTGGCTTAGGGCTCCCGCAGGCCACTTAATGGCTCTCTTCGAGCTGAAGGAATCTGAGGAGCCTCATTTACTATCCAGTCTGCACGGCCCTTCCTGCAGGGAAATAGTCCCATTAGGTCCCAGCAAGGCTGGGGTTAATGACATCCATCCAAGTGCATTCTTCTCTCTAGACGAGTGGTTCAGGCCTCAAAAGGGACAGCTGAGGTCTGTGAAGATGTCCCTCCCACAGCCCTGATGTGACCTGCTGTCAAGTGGGTAGTTTGATCCCCTGCCCCCTGGGGTCTCCTTTCTCTCTTTGGACAAGGACTGGAGCTTCAAGGACATCACGTGACCATCGGGGACAGGACAGGTCCAGCTCTGCCTGCTGGCCCAGGAGCTCCCTGTTGCTTACCTGGATAGGCCAACAGGTGGGAGTTCCTGGGGGGCTGGCTGTACTCATTATCCACACAGGAGGCTGTGGGGTTCTCGACCTGGGACCGGACAGTCGCAGTGTGGTTGCGATGGAAAGACACTGCACAGATGCAGGGGATGGCTTCATTAGATCTGTGCTCTCTCCTTCCAGCAGGGGCCCAGAGCGCATCCTCTTCCCACTAGGTGGTGTGGGGCGGGGGGCGGGGGAGGCAGGAACACCCACAGTCCCTTTAACGCACCTCCCTGTCCTTTCTCCCTGGGGTGGGGGGTCAGGCTAGCAGGGTAGTGGCAGACTTTGGGAGTATCTTGAGGTTGGCTCGCAATCTAATTGGCCAGCTGAGGCCGTCAATCCGTCCATAGGCATTTACCCAGAGGGACTTGGAGCACAGTGATAGGAAGATGGAATCCCAGTCCTCCAGGGATTTTGAAATGTTATTAAAAATAAAAATGACTGAACAATTTCGAATCTTCTTGAAGGATTTAGCTCTAGACTTGTAAAAGGGAGAAGGATGCAGAACGGGAGTCAGGAAAGAGTTAGGCTCGGATCCATTAGGGTAGTGCTGGCTTCGACCAGAAGGAGAGGCTGAAGACCAGGGCTGGAGCGAACTGATTGCACTGAAATTTTAAGTTTCTCTATGACAAAATTAGCTGGGGCAACCTTTCTTAATGCTCCTCTGCCTTG